CCAGCAGGCACAGGAACCAGCTGCAAAAGTTCCCCTGGAATAAAACCCGGGACACCTCTGCAAGTGCCTCAGGCTACTGACAGCCACACATAGGATGTGCTGGACCGGTCCTGGCACTGCTCCAGACGCACCTTCCGAGGTGAGATCCGTCCACTTCCACTTCGCACCACACGAGGGACCAGTGATTCCACTTTACACACACAGCTCCTGCTCCCCTCTACAGTCCTGCAAGGATTTCCTCTTGCTCCACCAACTCATTAATGCAACAGCATCCCTTCCAGCAGAGTCCTCTCTCAAAGTTAACTCTTAACTGACCTGAACAGTTAAGAGACCTGAATATTCTCACACATTTTTTTGTGCTTATTCCTACTCCAGCACAAGTGAAACAGCTCACTGCCCTTCCAGTGTGTGTTTTCAGGCTTTCTGACTTTTCTGCCTCTGGCACAGCTTCAGCAGGGCCCCCCAAGGTGACCAGAGCAGAGCTGTGTGTGGGGGGGGGTCACCCCAATCCAAGCCACGGGGGCTGGCAGAGCAGGGCTGCTGCCCCAGGGTTTGGATGTGCTTCCCTCTCCAGCCAACCATTAAGCACAGTCATGGACCCACAAAATCCAGTGCTGTTCTCCAGCTGTAAACAATGCAATACGTTTCCTAAAAGATTTATTTGGTACCCTAAAGATCCCAAGGAGAATGCTTAAGTTTCGATCAGTTTGGAGAAAATAATACTACTGAAGGAAGTAAGGCTGCAACAGAATAAGCCCCAAAGAACTTCAGAAGATCCTACAGATTTTATTTTCTACTCTAAGTTCTTTCAAAGAAAAGGAACAGTATTTACAGAAGAAACAATTTTTCTATCACTTTCTGTACCAGTTTCACTCTTTGATCTCCTGAATACCACTCTAAACAAGCCTTTACAGGAAAAAAAAAACAACAAAATGAAATCATGGGAAGGGATGAAACAGCTCTTTCCTGAATGAGCCTATGACTGCAGTTTGTTTTTACACCTCCAACAAGGCAGTGCAGAGAAAGAAACCAGCAGCACATTGTGGCTGAGCTGAGAAATCTCTGCAAAAATCCTGAATGTAAAGCACACTTTGGCTTCCCACCAACTGCTCTGAAAAGAAATTCCACAGTAACCATTAGAAAACATTACTATTTTTTTTATGCTTGCAGCACATTAGGAAGAGTAGAATGAATGAACTGTTCCACTGATTTAACTTCTTTTATTTCAAAACCTCTGTCCTTATTTACTAATGTTCTGTGGTTTTGGTTCTGTTTTGTTTCATTCTGAACCCAGAGCCACCAGGCTGGGGTTTTTGTTGCTTGATGAAGCTGTTGGGTTTCTGCACTCACACAATCAGTGTGAATTCAGTGCAGAGCTGCGTGGAAGTTGCCAGCCAGGGCTACAGAGGTGGAGTTATTTAGTGAGAAAGATCACAAGCACCAGTAACACACATTCTTCCTTATGGAGAAAATGTGCAGCACACTAAACACTTCCCTCATGCCACAGCCATTTTAGTGCCCATTTCTAAATGTCTACTTAAAAACCAGGAAGCAGGAATTTGTAAGAGAACAGACTGACTGTAAGACAGGACCCTATAAAGAAGAAGACAGTGTGAGTACCTCAAAAGCTGCTTTGCCTGAGGAAGCTTTCCTGCCTCTTCCATTCCCTTCTCCGAGTGCCTGAGCAGTTCTTTCCAACTCCCAATCATTCAGCTCCTCTTCCAGAGCCCTGCACAGGAGATGCAGAAGCCACTTGGATCCCAGAGAAACAGGCACACTACGGGCTCCTCCTTCTTTATAATGCAACTAGATTTCATAATGGATTTTCGCTTTCGCTTCTGGACTGAGGTCAGCAGTGTCACTGAGCAATACAACAAGGCAAGTCCAAGCTGCTGCTGGGATTCTGCAGTTGGAAAGCATGGAAAAAAAACCACACCTCATAAAAAACTTGCCAGGAACGTGCTTGTGGTTAAACCTGAGCGGAAACCCTGTCCCTCTGGGCGTTGCAACAGCAATGTAAAAGACTGGATTTGAGATCTGCTCCTGAGCCTGGCGCTCCTTTGGCACTCCAGGGGGGCCCAGAGCAGGAGAATCTGAAGTGCTGAGCTTGGTTTGCTCCCTGGCAGGGATCAGTGCTGAAGGATACCCTGCTAGAACACACACCAGGGCAGCAGCAGCACTTCTGCTCTTTGACTGAAGTTGTGTCCATCACATAACTTGCCACAAGCCACTGGGACCAGAGGGAGGGCAGAGGTTAAACCAAAGGAACCCCTAATGAGCTATTCTATGATTAACTCAGCTGACTCTTGCACCACAGGACAGGGGGAGGAAAAGTTCAGTGCCCATAAGCACAGGGGACAGATGAGGGTAAAACCTGATGCTTTCTTATCTCTGTTTTGGGTGGGGTTTTTTAGGGTGGCAAGGAGGCAAGTCAAGCTATCCAAGCTGATTTTAACCATCAGCAAAGCAGTACAAGGTTACAGCCAAGAAAGTGACCTGGAGAGTGGCTGACCCTCTCCTTTCCCCTCTTCCCTATAAGCCCAGGTAGATCCACAGAGCCATAAGCTCTTTTCCTTGACTTGACTGTTGTCCTCAGCACCCATAACAAGCTTTTCTCTTCCCTCAGCATTGCCCTGCAGTTCACAGTCGCCCTGTGCAAGGTGTTCCACAGCCAGTCACAAGCAGCACTCCCAGGCTGCCATAAACTTTATCTGGATCTAAAAATAGCAATGTTTTCTCCGAGTACACAGTCCACCCTTTCACCAAAACACTTCTTCATTACACTCTGTCCCTATTTTTATCATGTGACCCACAGACCAAAAGGTCCAAACATTTGCAAACTGTGCTCCAAGAAGAAACCAGTGCTCCTGGAAGGATTAAAGTGCTTGGTCTATCCTAAACACTGCAGCACCTGGTTGTGCAGCACCTGGTTGTGGAAGAGATGGAGGTTGAGCCTGAGCAGACACAATTTCAGGGGTTTATTTAGCAGATATCGTACAGAAGTGCTCAGTTTCAATTTAATCACAGTGCTGCAAAACCACAGTGCCCCTCCAGTGAATTTGGGTGGTTTGGTTTGCTCTTACAGTCCCAGTTCAAGGCAGCAGCTTCTGTGTTAGAAAAATGCTCGAATGCGGGGACATTTGTCTGCCATTACACTTTCCTGTTCCAGGCCCAGGACATTAAACTTGAGACATTTCCTTAAAAAAAAACCCAAACCACACCACCACCACCACTAAACCCAAACAAGCCAACAAAAAAACCCCACAGCAAACCCCCTTGTTTCCCTTAGCTTGCGCCCTTCCTGCCCTGGCCTGGAAGGGTCACCTCCAGCATGCAAACAAGGCTTCCACATCTCTGGGGGAGAAGTTAAAGACTGACATCAGTTCCAGGGATAAAGCATGAGGTAAATGCAGCCACTCTCACAGTAGGTCCCAGGTCTGCAATTTTTTTTCCTTACATTCTTCCCCCCTGGCTCTTGGGCACAGTCTTTAACAGTGACTTCACAGCGAACTTATGATCAAAAAAACCCAACTGTGTGCTCGTCACAAATGGTCCTGAGTGCTAATTCACAGATTCAGAAAGTGACCCCTGGCAGCAAAGGTCTCACTGGCTGCTGCTGGCTGGGCTGAGTTGCTCAGCCAGGACTGGCTTAACATGTTTTAATATCCTATGCAAATTATCACAAGAAAACAAGCTGTAGCTAAGGAGCGTAGCAGCAAAAATGTACATTGGGTTTTTTTGGATCTCCAGAGGATTGCTTGGTTTGAGGAATTGCTAACAGGACTAAACCCTTCACTCAAATTCAGCCCAGCTAAACAGCAGCTGTATTCCAGTTCTAGTGCAAGCTTTCAGCACAAAAGATATCAATATTCTGAGAATCTGACCTAAAATTTTGATTTTTCTTTTGCCTTAATCATTTTTTACAGGAAGAGTTAGTTTCCAAGCACAGAATTTGGTAATACCCAACCACATGAGCTGTTTCAGATTAGCCTCTTCCTCAGCACCCCAGCATTGAGTTCCCCAGACACTGTATTCATGCGATTTTTCCATTTTCACTGTTCCCTGTGAGTGGTACCCAATTCCTCAAATGCCTGCTTTCTGCAAGCATAGAGCAGAAGTCCAGGGGAAACATCTGCTGCCTAATCTAGAATTTCTAGGAACAGGCAAAGAACTTCAGTACTTAAAAACTCCTTCGAGAAGTTTATTTTACTTTGTACAGTTAGAGCTTGCACTGCATCCTTTGATGGTAAATTAAGTATGTGTTAAATAGGAAAAAAAATGAGCTATTTATGCCTTCAGCAAGGATTTTCCCCTTCTCCTACTTACCCAAAAATATGCTTGAGGAATTTACTTATTCATCAACTAAACTGTGTTTATATTGCAATAGTCCTAGAAACTCTACTCCTGAATGAGGCTTCATTTTGACTTTCAAGAGCGAAAACCTCCAGCATGGACTTTCTCCTATAGCCAAGGAATCTTATACTTTGATCCACCCTGACAGCACAAAACCCCTTTCACTGAATGCAGAAATACCCAGAATAATAACATTAACCAGAAACTCAACGTGAGAAATGAACCAGAAGACATGAGATGAAAATCAAATGCTGTGATCACAGAAGAACCTAGAGTTTTTCTTAGCTATATGCACGACTACAAGAAGTGGTTTTTGGGCTTCTATTCCTTTCTGCTTCAAGCAACTGTTACCTTTCTTTTTGTATATGTCTTATTTAATGTTCCAGGAAATTGAAAGCAATAGGGTAGCCCAGGGATCTATCCCAAGTCTCAGCATTAACAGTCGATGTCCCATTATACCTTTGATCTCAGTATGTTTTCTCACTGGTTTTGGTTTCAAAGCCTCACTTATCTACAACACCTCTGTTTTCACATTTGTGAGGTATTCCCCTGCTAATCTGGTACACCAAGAAAATACACCACAAAGTAATTTATGGCTGAAAGATAAACTTTATAACTGTAACTGCTTATGATTACAATTGGTCTTTTATGACAAAAAATGATCCTTATTGCCAAGTAATTCACCAGTCAGGCACAAATTAAAACAGGATCCAAAGCCTTCCATGAAAGGAAACTAAAACAAATTCTCAGAACTATTCTTGCTTAATATCAAAACTAGCTGTTACACTTTTTCCTTTAATAATAGTAAACAAGTATCATAAAAGAGAAACTGCAATTTAAATCCAGAATGTGATCCCCATTTTTTTTGATTACTCTTTGAAAAAAACACCGTGGTGACCTTAACAAATCTTTGTTTCTCCACTGCTAAACAGGATATAAGGAAATCTTTTTTTCCTGAAACATGAGCTGTCTGAGACCATAAGACAAAGCACACAAGTTACACAGGTTTTGGTTTCCAAATCTCACCTGCAGTACCACCACTTTCATGTTCGTGACGGACTCCCCGGCTAATCTGTTATTTGTGTCAATAAAACAGTGCATGATGTAATTTATGGCTGTGATATATCAATAAAATAGTGCATGATGTAATTTATGGCTGTGATATAATGAGAACCATAAGTTTTTTATGGCAACGAACGCAGTGACAACAGTGACCTTTATTGCCAAGCAGTTCACTGGTTAAACATCCACATAGCACCAGACAGCTGCTCACACAAGGAAAGGTAGAGCTTTTCTCAGGCACAGGTCTTCAGGATTCACCAGATTCAGTTCCCTGAGGTTTCCACATCACCATAGGAGCAATTTGGTTGCTCAGTTCAGGGCTGCAGCTTCTGTATTAGAGAAATGCTCCAATGCCAGGACATTTGGCTACCATTACACTCACGTTTGAGGCTCAGGGCATTAAAGACCTATGACATGGTTAAGACCCCATGTAATAATCACACACCCAAAGTTGAGTTAACATCACTCCTTGGTACCTTCTTACATCTACTTTCCCCCTGCCTACCCTGAGCTTTAGTCCAGGCTGCCACCTTCTCTCTAACCGGGTGCTTTGGCTCAGGCTTTTCTAGCTTCTACCCCATCCCCCCTCCCTTCAGGTCAAAAAGCAGCAGAGCATGTCCCAAAGGCACTTGGAGGAAATTGCGCCTTCTGCAAGTGGATGCTGGAAAATTACAAATATTTTAGGGCAGCCAGCAGCATCCCATTGATAGGCCAAGCACACGGCCACCTCCTCCAGCTCCCTCTGGCCAGGGATCCCCACTGCATGGCAGATATGGTACCCAGGGTTTCTGACTGACAGACAAATGTCCACCCCTTGTTTAAGGTTTCCTTTAAGGTAACATCTTGGTGTATGATCCTCACATACATACCTTAGTGGTGACATAAATTTACACATTTTAAGTGTTAATGGATTATTTCCCTTCTCCTCCCCCTAAGGAAGCCTTGGTTTGACATCTTAAAAACCCCAGTGGCATACTGAGATATACAGTGGGCTGTAAAACACCTCCTCAGCTGAAAAACTGATTTTGTATTAAATACTTTGACTGGCAGCCCTCTGACTTCATTATAACAACAAAAATCATACACCGTGTCTTGCATTAGTTAATCATCTGCAGATTTTAAAAACTAGATCCTCTGAGCAGCCTGTCAGTGAAGACACACAGCTTCCTTCAAAAACACCTTAAAGAAATTTGATATTTCCCTGACCATCTTGTCCTAAAACACAGGTATATTTAGAGGGGGCTTAATGCCCTTTGGGATAAGCTACACCTGCTTGCAGATTTGCCCCACGGCCAGCAAGTCCACGAGGAGTGCACTGGAGTCCCAAGCAGCCATCCTGCTCCTTCACAGTGCATTCAGATGGACTCACAGACAGACAGACAGCCTACCCATCAGCACATCAGCCAAGCATCAGGCCCTGCACCTTGCCCTAGAGGTGGAAATCACAATCCACAGTCCAAGGCCGGGGCCGAACCGACACCGTGACAGGCAGCAGATGACATGGGACTGCTGATAACGGGGTACCAGGCACCTCTGGGGGTTACAGCCCACCCACAGCAGCTCTGACTCCCTGGGGCAAGGAGCTCTAGAAAACCCCACTGAATCTTCTCTTCCTCTCCCCTCACTCAGATTATTTTTCTTCTCAGTGTTTGCTTTTTGCTGCAACATGAGCACTCAGCTAACCTGCAAGTTTGCTTTCAAGTTCAGTGGCGATTTATGGACTGTGTTGTTGCCACATCGTCCGAGTATGGGGACAGGAGCTCTTCCTTCCTGCCCAGCACCAGCAGTGGGTTTGCTGCAGAAGCTGTGTCTTGGCCCTCCCAACTTACCTCTCACCAACCTGGAGGCTGCACCTCTGCCTGCCCAGTTCTATGATTCTTTCCACACCCAGCCTTGTTCCTGCTCACCATGTGACTTCCATGAATCTGCTCGCTCTGCCAAGAGGAAAATTTAGCTCTGCCAAGAGGAAAATTTAATCTCTTTGCTTCCTCTTGTAGCCTACGACAGCCAACAGTCCAATTTGAGCACATCTTGAAAAAGTCACTGCTGAGGAACATTTGCAACCACCCTCCTTCCCATATTTATTGTATTCTGATCTGCATAGACAAGGTTTAGTTAAGTGCACGTGTTGTTCTCTTTGCTTTACCACTGTCTCCTGACCAGACGTGATCCATGCAGCCACAATAAAGCTGAATCCCAGGTAACTAACACAGGCATGATTTAAACCCAAGTGTATTGCTGCCACACAAAAGCAGCCTAGAGGTCATTTTTCATTGTCTGGGCAAGTCGGGCTCACACATTTGGAACCAAAAGTGAAAGCACTTCCAGCCCGAAACACAAGCGGTCTGTGGGAGTAAGAGACTCTCATTAAGCAATGAGCAAATTATTTCAGTTCTCCAAAACAGGGGTGGGGCACAGGAGGAGGCAGCTCCTAATGACTGATGCCCCAACTTCAGGTTTATTTGTTTCTTAGAACCCCATCACCTGGAATCCATAGGAGACTGGATCTCACCAAAAGATTCACAGGTCTGAGAAAACAGGGGTGCAGTCCTTCCAGCCCCAGCACCACAAGGATTAATTCACCTTCTGCCAGCTAAATTTACTGTTTGTTTACATATCCTTGCCCTGCCAGAGGCCAAGCTGCCTGCAGTAGAAGGATGGGATTTTCCTTTTGCAAAGGAAATGCTCAAGTAGAGCAAAAGCAACTGTAAGCTGTCAACCTTTCCCCATCTTTTATCAGACAATGAACATGCCTCTGAAAATGAACTGCAGCAACAGCTCTGCTTACTCCAGGCTTGGCAACAACAGCCCTGGCCACATGCTTTTGGTTTTGTTCCCTTCCACCAGTACAGAGGGTGGAAAAATACAGCTGTGTTCCCTTGGGAACATGTATTGGACAGCTGTGGCTTGGCAGCCTGGAAAATTCATGCACTCAAAATATAAACATACATCCATAAGCAAACACACAACATGTGAGAAGCCCACAAGCCTAAAAGCCAAGACCACTAAAAGGCACATCCCAACTCCTAGGTGGTCACACAGTGTGATCTGGAGCAACCTGCCCCTGCCATATTCCAGTTTACCCTCTGTTAAAGCACAGACACCTCTGGGCTCCAGAGGAGAGCCTGAGAAAGTTGCCTCCAAGATAGTTATTAAGTGCTACAACCTGCTTCTAGGTCTGTGTGCCTGACAAATACTCCACTGCCTACTCAGTCACCTTCTTTCTAGAAGCCAAGCAACTTGTTCACATTTATGTCTCCATCCATAGAATGCAGATTCCATGGGTTTGGACATTTCTGTCTCAAAACTAAACTGATGGAACTGCAAAGCAAGACTACTTAGGCAGACACAAACAGTTGTGTTATTGCTCTAAAGGGAAGAGCACACCTGCATATTTGAAAGACAATGACCTACCTGGCATATTCCTTGGTATCTCAGAGCAGCTCATGTGCCTTCTGAGGAGTTTAAATCCAGGTATTGCCCAGAGAGTAACAAAAACCTAAAGGCAAAAAACATTTTAGGAAAAACCTTTGCCAGATACACTTCTAGGTCTGGTGGCTAATACACAAGACTTTCCCACGAACAAGACATGACTTCTGGATTCACCAGCTCTGACCAGGGATTAAGATTCACCCATTGCAGTACAGCCATTTTTCTGGGGGGAAGGGGGCTCAAGAGGGACTGTTGCCTGCCCTAAGAGATCTCTCCAGAGGTCCCTAGAGAAAACACCTGTTCCTCAAGCTCCATTAGCAAAAGCCATGTGGGGACATGTCCTTCAGAGTTCTCACATGACTCAGACTTTGCATCTGGCTCTACTGCTCTTAATTGGGCGATTTATAAGAACAGGGTTTGTTTGTAGTGTGAATGTCATTCTCAGAGGAAATTACTTCAGCCCTGGCACAACAGACTGGGGATTTTGTGCTTCTTATCTAATCCCATCTCACACCAGAGCCCAGTGACCCAGGGAACCCTCCCACTTCTCTAAGGTTTAATTACTTCTTCCGGTAAGAAATTAAGAACCAGTTGATCTTTCATTTTGCACATATATGTTCCAAAGGATAAATATACACCAGGTTTCATGTTACAGACATCTGACCTCTTGACACCATTGGGCCTGTTTTCTGCTTCCCTACCTTACAGAGTTCATCAGACCAGGAATCTGGAGATTTTGAACCCTTTTTCCTTCTCCAAAAGGGATGTTCGATCACAAGCCTGTGACTTTATTATTATTTACTACACACTGAGGAGATAAAAGCTGTTAATCTCACTGCAGGCCAAGCCCCTTGATGGCTGTGGCAGATGGGGAATACCACCAACACCGTAAGGATCTTGTGCAACCTCTCCAGCACAGTCCCCCTGCAGACACTGTCTGCAGCAAGGCTCTTTGGCCCACTACTTCAGTCAAGGCAATAAAACCAAGAAGAAATTCCCTTTGCAGCTCTGTGTTTCCCCCTTTGCTGTGCTCACCCCCGGCTCTCCCACCTGGACTAAACTGGTGGTGAGGTCTCCAGGGAGCTCTAGGGAGCAACTTCAGCTCGTGGTGCAAAAGGATCTGGCAATGGCTGTGCAGATGGCAACATCATCTATGAAACATCAGTGGATTTTATGGTTTGCAACAAAGGCTTCCTCATCTGAGCACAGCTTCTCTTTCCTGACCAACACAAATACAAGTTTCACCTATTTATCAAAACAAATTCTAGGTCTCCACTACTGAAGTCTGACTCTTGCCTAGGGCACAGTTCTATTACTTTTCCCAACTCCATTTGACATAACTGGTGCTTTCTGAGGACCCAAACCAGTTCCTCCAACACTGACTTTCAAGTCTTCTGAACTTTGCCTCTGTAGAGATGTTTTTCTTCCATAAGGCACAGTCAGATGGTGGCAGGCTACAGGCCAGTCCCTCAGGATACTCACTTACCAATGCACCACGTGTTTTCATCGTTGCTGTCATCCTTGCTAACACTTTGCAGCTGAAGTCCTGTCAGTTGTGCAACACAGAAGAGATCTGTTTCAGAGAGAAACATGATTTCAGGTGGTACAAACCTGGCAACTCACAGCTTCATTATTCCCCAAGGATGCTTATCCAGCAGGGACTGTGCAACTTAAATTGGAGGACAAAGTGAAGCCTTTCAGATTTTCATTCCTGCTCTAGAAATAGACATATACCTACAACACTCTTTACTGGGGTTTTTTTCCTCTATTAACATGGCAATAAATTCATTATCCAGATGCACAGGCATGAAGGCACAAGCAGGAGAGGAGTTTTGCCTTTGGGGAACTGAAGTGAGAAAGTGTGAGCAATCAATTCAGTGTCTGACCGTCACAGCAGTGAGCTCACAATCAACTGCTAACTCTTCAAGACAGAGACATCAGGATTATGGTACATATGCCAAAAGCATAGCTCAGTTCTACCTGCACTTATCAC